TTGAACATTCCTTCATCGAAAACAGCAAAGATCCTAACACTGAGACCTGAGATACTCCACTTGTGACATTAATCCAGTTTGATTGAACTACATTTATAACAATCCCCTGCTTTTTTCCATCTAGCCAATCTTCTATCCAGTAAGCTAACTCATCCCCCACACCTATAGAGATAATTTTTTTTACAAACCTTTTATGTAGTACCTTGTCAAGTTCACTCCAGATACACCAAATCTATATCCTTACCCTCATATAAATATGCAGTAATTTTATCAGTAGAAGCAGTTGTATTAAATCATCTTATTTATATTAGATGCTTTCTGTTAAAAATATAATAATTTTCATAAAATAATTAATTGTAATAAATAATAAGATAAATTAGATTCACATAATTAATAAATTAGTAAATGTGAAGTTGTTTTTGTTTTTGCAGTTCTATTAACAAGTACCTATTTAACAAATGAGAAAATGAATAATATCTAATACATATTAAATCATGAATATTAAAACAGATTTAAATCAAATGAAGAATTATTTAGAGATAGAAGAAGAGTTTTCATATATATTTTCTCATTTTATCTGAAGTTCAGATAAATAGCTGTTGAGAAGATTTTAAGGTTCCAAAATTAATTCAAATAGACTGTTTCTGCATTATGTTGGTAGATATTGGAATTGGGTATGTAACTCTTCTTTTAGTTTTGATTGACATACCCATATGATCAAGCACTCATCTTTAAGGTGACATTTAGTTTCATCAGTATAAGAGGCTTTACAGTTTCTACACATGTATAAATAGATGAGATGCAAGCAATCAGTATACTGTCTTTGCAGTAGAAACAATTTTCAGTCTGAAATTAGGTTTAAATATAACTTTCATATCACATTGAGGATAGGAAAATGGCATGGGAATGGTCATCAGTCCTGTCAAAGCCACAGCTATGTTTTACACACTCATCAACTCTGTAAGAAATGTTGAAGTACCTTTGGGTGATCTGTGACAGACAACGTTACTTCACGAGCCACATTAACAACTTGTTAACAAGAGCTACCAAAGGCATCAATGGACTGAAAAGTTGTGCAGGAAATACAGCTGAAGAACATCACTTCCTTAAGCACTACAGTATTGATCAGTATTGAGTGCTACGTAGCTAGATAAGATTGATAAGATACAAGATATGTGTTGAGTGGTAACAGGATGTGCATCAGCTACCACCATCAAAACCATATTATACCTTACTTGTCTAAGCAACATTACAGTTCACCAACAGCTCCAACAATAAAATTCACTACACTAGGGCCTTGCAGTGTAAATATCATGCATTCCCTAATGAAACCACTGCCCTATTTAATTAGGACAATTTAGCACCACAGTAATCATTCAGACACCAGCCAAGTAGAGGATTGCCAGAAAGGTGCCCTGTGAAACAGTTATGGGTGACAGGTGCTATACAGCCACCACTGTGATAATTCATTTACACCAAATGTCAGAATTCCTAATGTGGAATAAACATTTGATGCCTCTTGGATCTGTAGAGATATGGCATAGAATGATACAGAAAAGTGTGTTTGAACCTATTTAAAGATTAAGGTGGATAATCACCTGTCATCATAACCACAGAATGTTCTTACACTTAAGATTGTGAGGGTTGGCCTTCATTGTCCCATGGAGCAATAACATTCTGCATGAGGCTGGTGGAGCATTCAGGTTACCCACAAGCACCATAAGGATGGAGCTGGAGGCCATAATGCAAGCTGTCTGGATTGCTGAAAGAAACAAACAACAAAGAGACAGTTTCACCAATATAATGTTTGATTATCTCACAGGCAGTAATGCATAAAATTCAGTGGTTTGCTCCCTAATGGATGTAAAAATAAAATTAGTTACAAGATAAGACCATCACTTGGATGTATTTGCCTGGCCATGCAGGGGATAAAACTAAATGTGGTAGCTGACAAGCTCATTTGAGAAGCCACCCATTTATCAAATCCAACACAACTCTATTGGTAAGTTATTGGCCTCCTCTGCACTAGTAAGGTACCAACCACAACTATTTAAGTTCTTCATTGATATTCAGAAGGATTGAGTGCTGAAAACAAAGTATTGTGTGGTATAGCTAGGAAAAGCAAAGGGTGGGACAGTACACAGCTAAAAGGCCACTGATAACATCAGTAAATGAACTCTCTTCTGCCTTCTGCAAGGCAGCTGGTCTCCACATGAGAGATCAGCATCTTTGGGCACAAAGACATCCTTGGATTGTCATCTAGTGGTTAAAAGACATCCTTGGATTGTCATTTAGTGATTAACACAGTAATTAATGAAATATGTCATGTGTTTGTCCAATTACTCAAGTCTATCTGCAAAATCATATCATCTGGAATATTGTGTTCAGTCTTGGCTCCTTACTTTAGGAAAGACATTGAATTGTTGGAAAAGGTTCAGAGAAGGGTTACTAGAATGGTGCCTGGGATGGAGGGGTTGT